TCTAGGATTTATATTGTATTTATTTCTGCTGCTCATTCCTCCAAAGCTGGCTTTATATCATAACAGCCAAGGGGCAGCTTGGGATATCATGAAATTGTGTAAATGGCATCATGAAAAGCGATGTGTTGAAGAAGTACCTAAGTGGCACATTATGAACTGCACAGCTCCCACAGAGCAATTAAAAATGATAAACAATCTTTTCCAACATTCTCCTCAAAGCTGCACATGGGTGTCAGCCAGTCACAAGACTTAGCTGCAGCGAATGCATTAAATGACCCATCTGCTTTTCACACTGTTCATCACTGATTTATAACCCATTTGGCCAACAAAAACAGAGCCGATGAGATGAGTTATCCAGAGACCAGCTACAGCTTTTCACCTATAGAATCCAGAGAAAGAAATGTGTCCCATCCAGCTAGTGTTTTCCCAGGATTTGGACCCAGCATATATGCTATTTGCAGGCTTCATGCACATGTCCTTGTCTGCGTGGACTTACAGGACCTTGTGTAGGTCTCAGTTATACTCCTGGAAATACGATAATTCAGTTGCCTTTAGTGGAATTGCTCTTGATTTACTCCAGTGTAACTGAGATCAAAATGTGACCTACGGTATCCTCAAAAGGCTCAGCAGTCCTCCAGAAGACTCAGAAGAGGTATCTCATGGGTTTCCCAAGGACACTTCCACCTTTCACTTGCTACTGGGACTGATTTATTTTTAACTCTTCCCTTCAGTGAGCCACATCCTGGCCCCACTGGTGCAATAGGACTATAAAGCTACCCTAAACTGGCAGCCAAGGATTTCCCAGCATGCCACAACTCCCATTTTGATGTACAGCCAGCATAGTTAACTCTACATCACCTCTTCCAGACTCCTAGGGTAGGGGGAAGCCTGGGGATGGTGGAGACAATGACCACACCATGCTTTCTTCAGTGATCTCTGGCTAGTTTAATCTACGCATCTGAGAATTTATATGGCCCTCATCACAGTTGCATCTGAGTGCATCAAAATCACTAATGTCTTTTATCCCACAACTTGCCCCCCCCCAGTGAGGAGGGAACAATTAGCCCCATTTTACGATGAAGAACTGGGTGACAGGGTAGATTAAGTGACTTGCCCAAGGTTGCACAGAAAGTCTGCGTCTGAGCCAGGAATTGTATACGAGTTTCCTGACTCTCATTTCAGAGCATCTTCCAACCCCTTTGGTGTCCCTAGGTTCTGTTTGCCAGAAGCTGGGAATGAGCGACAGGGAATGGATCACCTGATGATTACCTGTTCTGTTCATTCCCTCTGGGGCACTTGGCATTGGCCACTGTCGGAAGGCAGGATACTGGGCTAGATGGACCTTTGGTCTGACTCAGTATGGCCATTCTTATGTTCCCTTTGGGCCTTTACAAGCTATTGGAACTTAAAGGTTGCTCTCAGTAGTACTGGTGCCACCTTTGCCCTCTGCCTTGGCTCCTGCACCAAACACGGGTTGGCCAGAAACAAGGAAAAGGGAGCTTGGATTTACTATTCTTCCTTCCACACATCCTGTATTGGATGCCAGTCAGCCTCCTTCCATGGGTCTTTTCATTGATTTCAGTGGGAGTAGTCACGTGCTTAAGTGCTTTACTGAACTGTGGCCAGAATGTGTAGCTCCCAAATGACCTTCAAATGGTCCAGAAACTCTGCTGATCAATAGAGAGCTGCCTGAAATTCACAAGAGCCTAACAGACATACTGAGATGATGTATCGAGTGGCTGCTGCTCTCACAACCCCACCTAGCACATTGTGTGTTCAGTGAACCTGCAAAGTCTGTGGCAGAAGATAGGGGGTGAGAACTAGGACTTCCCTGTCTAGCAAGAGATCTAATTGTGTCTGCCAGGGTTCTGTGCCAACCGTTCATCAAACTGCTCATCCAAAAAGTGAGCTAGAGTCCATCAGTGATGAGACAAAAGGGAGAGCTCTAATTCCTGGGCTTGCATTCAGGGAAGACAGAGTATTTAAGGACTACTCTAAGGACAGGAACAGACCAGGGGACACAAGAACCTCCTCCCCAAACTGGAGATAATAACATTTATAGAACCTTCCATTTGAGGACCAAAAATTCCATTAAACACATTAATCAATTGATCTTTACAATGCCACTGAAAGACATCCTAGGTCATTATCATTATCTTTGTTTTACAGGTGGAGAAAATGAGGCACTAAACAGCTTAAGCGAGAAAGTGACTCACCCAATGTCAAAGTGAATGAGTGGTGGCAGCGGGACTAGAACTAGAATTCTGACTTTAGTCCATTGTTGCAAGAATTAAACTGTATTCCCACCTTCAAACATGGAGCAGTAGCAATGGGGAGTGCAGATAGAAAGCAGGTCGTAGGGGGTGTACACTTATCAAACAAGGGTATGAGGAAGGCTTAAAAAGGATACCTGTTTTCTGAAGGAGGGAATTCCTTCCTCCCTCCTACTAGCCATCACTATGAAGAGCTAAGCTTCTCATGACCAGCAGTTCAACCTCCATGGACTAGGACCTGTGGAGAAGGAGGGAGGGTGGGAATGGAATTCGAGCTCAGTCACTCTGGGCTGGCAAAGGGGAAGAAAGAGTGAGCATTGGAAGAGAGATAGAGTCATATACACACAGAGCAACACACACTGAAGGAGAGAGGAGGCTGGGGAAAGAGGGACGGGTGGGTGGAAGGATTCACACGGAACAAAGGTGTTCAGGTGGAGGGTGAGGGATTCACACAGAACAGGGGTGGTGGGGGTGAAGGGTGCGGGATTCACACAGAACGGGGTGGTGGGGGTGGAGGGTGAGGGATTCACACGGAACAGGGAGGTGGGGGAGGAGGTGTGGGTGGAAGGACTCACATACAGAACAGAGGTGGTGGGGTAGGGCATGAGTGATTCACACAGAACAGGGGCAGTGGGGGACTAGGGTGAGGGATTCACTCAGAACAGGGTGGTGCAGTGGACGGTGAGGGATTCACATGGAACAGGTGGGGTAGCTGTGGGGTTGGAGAGTGAGGGATTCACACAGAAGAGGGATGGTGGAGTAGAGGGTGCGGGATTCACACAGAACGGGGTGGTGGGGGTGGAGGGTGAGGGATTCACACAGAACAGGAGTGGTGGGGTGGAGGGGCGGGGGGAAGGATTCACACACAGAACAGGGGCGATGGGGTACTGTGGAGGGTGGGTGGAACATGGAACAGGGGTGGTGGGGTGGAGGGGTGGGTGGAAGGATTAACAGGGAACAGGGGTGGTGAGCTGGAGGTGTGGAGGGTGAGGGATTCACATGGAACAGAGGCGGTGGAGGGTGAGGGGTTCACACACGGAACAGAGGTGGTGGAGGGGTGAGGGGTTCACACGTGTAAGCAGTGTCAGGATGAACTCCACCCTGACATCTGGTGGTGAGGTGTGGCAAGTTGTGGAAAAGAACTTCAGGGGCCGATCTCATTTGCATAGGCACACCCACCCCGCCTAGAATGAGGCCATAGCTGCCCAAATGGTCACTTTGGCTGCTGTGGGATCCCCAGTGTCTCTGTTATTGGGGCAGGAAGAATAAATTGTTATTACCCTGATTATGGGAACTGTGCTTGGAACTGTACTTGGCCTTTTGTTATGATGGAGGGACTCACCGTCAACTAAGTAGCACTCGCTAGGCAAGGGTCATGGGTTTTAAAACTCTGTGAATTGAGAGGGGTTGGGGACAAGTGTTAATTCTTGGTGGTATGGGTCCCTTGGTGAGGGCCTTGCATGCTAATTGCACTTCCTTCTCTCTCCACTGTGGAATATCAGAGCTAATTTTGATTCCATTAGGAGTCTAGTTACAGGCTGCTGAGCTCACTTTGGGCTAATGGTGTACCAGCACTGAGGCTCCCCTACTACAAGTTGAATTCACCAAAGAGTTGAACTGACTAAGAGCTGAAATCACTGAGTGTTGTGTTAAGTAGTGGGGGAGCCTGAAGATATATTGTGGAGCAGTTTGCGGGATGGCTGGAGTGCCTTGTGGACAGGCTGGTGGAGCAGTTCGTAGGATGGCGGGAGCTGCTTGTGGGCCGCGGAGCTGAGCGAAGGAGTTCGTGGGGCGGCTGGCGGAGTGAAGTGAAGGCATATGGAGCTGTGGGGTGGTCAGCTTCAGATCATGTAAGGTGCCTCTTATCCCCGTCCCATCTCCACCCAGGTTGGGAGATAAAGCTCCGCAGATAAACTTTCGAACTCTGGGGCTGCCCTGACCAGGGACAGAGACTTTTGGGTCATTGGACTTTTGGGACTTTGGGTGATTTGGGGTTGCTGGACTCAAGAACCAAAGGGAAAGGGGCATGCCCCAATTTGCTTGGGGTGGGTTTTTTTGCTCATGGGTTGTGTTATGAATCCTGTTGGTGGTGTTTCCCCAACATAATGCCACATTGTCTCTCTCTGTTATTAAAAGGCTTTTTGCTACACTCAGACTATGTGCTTGCGAGAGGGGAAGTATTGCCTCTTGGAGGCACCCAGCGGGGGTGGTATATATTTGTCCCAGGTCACTGGGTGAGGGCTCGAACCGGTTTGCATTGTGTTATTGGAATGGATCCCCTAGATATTGAACCCGGCCCTTGTTGCTCCCAACTCTGACGGGCAGAAGGGTTACACACGGAAGAGAGGCGGTGGAGGGTGAGGGGTTCACACACGGAAGAGAGGCGGTGGAGGGGTGAGGGACTCACACAGAAGTGGGGGCGGTGGGGTGCCGGGGTGGAGGGTGCGGGGCTCACACACACCCAGTCCCGAGGCAGAGTGCAGCAGCCGGGCTGTGGAGAGCCGCTGTCATTACAGCTGCAGCAGGGTGGTGACGGGCGCGCTGATTGGCCGCCTGCCGCCCGGCCCCGCCCAGGGCAGGGGAGCCGCGCTCTCTCCGGCTGGCGCGGGGCTCTGAGGAGTAGGACGGCGAGGGGCAGCCGCCCCGCTCGCTCCGGTCCCACTCGTTGCAGCCAGACTGGGGGACCTCGGGCCATTTCCCAGAGCAGGTCAGTGAGCTGCCCGCAGGCTGGGGCTCTCCCCGCAGGCGAGCCGTAGGAATAAGGGGGGTTGCATGGGGAGACGTGGGGGCCCTCTGGCGTGACCCCTCTGGCGCGGCTGGGCAGCGGGAGCTGAGCGGCGCGGCGATGGTTGCGGTCTCCCAGGGCTGCCCGTGCCTCAGTTCAATCCCGGCCTCTAGCGGAGGAGCCAATTCGCGGGACTGTAGAGCCGGATAATCAAGAGCTGCGGAATCGCCTCCAGGTGGTGAGCGCTGGGGAGAGGGAGGAGCGGGCACTGGGGGCTGGTTTCCAGGCAGGCTCTCTCTTCCGATGAAGAGGGAGTTTGCTCTGTGCAATGTCAGGGAGGCATGGAGCCCCCCGCCCCTCCCTCGTCCCACTGAAAACCTCGTTTGTTCAAAGGATACCAGCCTCCGGAAACATCACCCCAGGCGCCTGCCTGAGCCGCACGGCCGCGGGCTGGCTCTGCTCGGGGCATGGGGCGAGGAGGCGTTTTCCGCCCAGTGTGGTGGAGAGATTCGCCAGCTGGGCAGACCCCACCAGCCTCTTAGGCTGTTCCGGAGCTGAACCGCTCACTTCCCAAAGGGACAGGGGAGAATCTGCTTTGGTTTACTGCCTGACTTCCCCTCCCACCATGGTCACTTCCCAGAGAGGCAGCTTGGTCCATTCACCCTGCTCGGCGGGGCAAGGATCGGTCAGTTGCAAAAGAAGAGTGATACCCTTAGGTTCAGATGTTTACAGCGCTGGGTGTGGGGATCATGCTACGTTGAGGGGTCGGGGAGAAGGGCTGGGAGTCCGTCCCTTTCCGTGGTGGGATTTGTTTGCTGCACAACTTTCTTTGCACCTCCTGAAAAAATTGGTTGCATAAAAATTGGGTTTAGTGTGGATCGATTCCAGGCGCGCCTATGACAATTATGACCCCCTTAAGTGTGCATGCAGCTTACCTCTGGAGCGTGCTGTATAGTGGACAGAGAACTAAAAGGATCCGTTTCTGAATGTCTGCAGTCTTATTATTCTCAGTTCTTCCCCGATAAGAATAGTAAGATGTGAAAGCAAGTAGTGTGGATCTGGCTAATGACAATGCCGTGTAATTTCTGAAGCGATCCTTCTCACTTTTTCATTACTGAGTTATGCATCATTAGTTTTCTCGCAGTACCCTGCTGAAACTGATAGTTGTCTGTGTTGGTGGATGGGTGGGTGGGGAATTAACATACTTTTTGCTGTTTCAGATTATAGTTTTTCTTAAGTCGTTTGCTGTACAATTTCACTGTTTAGGCTTTTAATGCAATGTGATACCCAAAGCGCTGCCTAAAAGTCACTAAATGAAAATGATTCATGCTTTTTCAGCAAGAGAAGAAAACAGTTGCAGAGCTCGAATCTGCTCCCCCGAAGTCAATAGGAACTTTGCCTTTGACTCTGCTGAGATCAGGATCTGGTCTTTAATTAAGAAGGGGGAAAAATCTTTGCAGTTGATTGGAGTTCTAGCTTGCTGCACAGGAGCTGGGGTATTTTTCTGCACTCTACTGAGCCAGTGTGGTGTGCTTTCTTCATGGTCTGAGTTGTCTGATTTCAGTCCTTGGTCAACATATCACACCCAGTCAAAGATACAGATAGATATGTACTGTTTATCTCAGAATCTATCCATGTCTCAGGCTTCCCATCACTATATATTGCACCTGATATTCCAAGCACCTGATATTGACAGGTGAGATCAATGTTGAACAACATATTAGTAATGTTAACAGAGCTTTCAAAACAGGATTTGAAAGCCTGACAATTATAGGAAACCCCCTTCTGTCCCCTCTGCGTCAGGATGAGTTACTTAGTTATTGTAGTTAGAAAGAGAATACTGGATATTTTGTCTTTTCTGTGCCATAAAAGAGAGGGTAGTAATCAATGACATCTAATTTGTGGATTGTTTTGTCTGTTTTCCTTTGTGGCTTTATTGTTTTCAAACATGAGGTGATGGAGTAGGGTACTATTTTTGTCCTTATTGGCCTTTTCTTGACCCATTCAAGTCCTTAAAAATCAAAAAGTACTTTTTTCATTTCAGAGAAATTGTTTTGTCTTCCGGCACAGGGACGAACTCTTTCAATGAGCCCAGGTGATGGACTGTGTCCATGAATTGGCTCTTTTCAGAATGGAAAGGATGCAGAGTCAAAATAGGCACATGTTGGTTTCTATTCTTTAACTATCCTGCCAAATGAAAGTTCTATAGTGCAGAGCTTGATTTGTTACTGTACTACATATTCTGGAGCTCTGGACATAGTTTGGGTTGCCACTGGCATTACATCCCACATTGTTTTTGTGTGGGTATGACAGGAGTTGTTTCCATTGAAAATGCGTGGCAAAATTCCCATTGAGTTTACAGAAGGATCAGGCTTAGACAGTACAATACAGAAAAAATATAAGTTGATGCATCTGCAGAAAATACATGCTCCCAAATCAGTTTCTTCCCAAATAAAAGCCAGGAGGTGTTGCAATATCATCAGTATAGCATGTTTAATGTGAGGTGATGAAGCTTGGGACAGAAAGCAGCGAAAGGGAATTCTCACTGTCCTTGCATTGCAAAACAGGCAGGAGAGAGAGAGAGAGATGTGAGGAGATGGTTAAAAAGCTAAACATTTGCCAGAGAATGTAACTGTTGTAAAAGCATATAAAAGATATCATGCATAATAAATCAGATTAAACATATTTCAGAGGAAATCATAGTAACATGGTAGAATGTACTAATAGTAGAGCCACATTTTGACGACTACAGAGTTCTAGCATACTGTACATAGTAGTGGGCATTTTATTGTGAAAAAGGATATGACTGAAATGTAGGGATGTATGGGGGTAATCTTCCCAGTTCAGAGACTCAAGAACCAAGGATTATGGAGTCATGGATCGATGCAGGACTGGAGCTGTTCCATACTAATCCCTTATGACTTTGCTTTTTAAATTCAAATTGACCATGGTCTTAGATCTCCAAGCTGGAATGGACTGAAATGAATCATGGCTTGGAACCACCCATACTTCCTCCTCTTTGATATTTTTACTCTAAGGGCTTGTCCACATGAGGGATTTTTGCACAGGTGTCACTGCCTATTGCCTGCCTTGCTAACCCATAACTTCTCTTGGGCAGGGTCACATCATGTGATCTGAAGGGTCAAGAAACAAGCATATCCCTCCATCCTCTCACAGCCTTTTAGATGGTATTAAAAGATGTCTTTAAAGGTGGTAATAACTGTCCTCTTTGGGGAGAAGAGAGGAAGTTAATTGACATAGACTGGAGCAGCTGTTGTTGATAAAGTCAGTTCTTGTTTCCTAGAAGACAAAACAAGACAAACGCACACAAGAGAGGAGAGGAGAGAACAGCAAAGATATAAAATGCAGCTCTCTGTCTCTGGTGTGGACTCTCACTTGAAACCTCACTGCTGGAAGAACACAGGTACAGCACAGAGTCTCATCAGCCACTCCGACACCTGGCAAACTTGTACCAGCATCAGGCTTGCTAAAGCGTTGCATTGACTACCATTCTGCTCACAGGCTTACTGCAGTGTTGCAAAATAAGCAGTCCTGGCTGGCTAAGCCATTCTCTTATTCCTCTCCTTTTCCCCTCTGTGACTGTCCAATAAGAAAGAGAATAATTCAGGGAGGGGGAAGGAAAAGGACATGTGGGGGGAGGAGGAAGGGAGAGAGACGGAAGTCTCACATCCCAGGTGATGTTTGGTATTCACCTGGAGCCAATGGAGGAGGTGATGTAGCTCACAAAACTTATGCTCAAATAAATTGGTTAGTCTCTAAGGTGCCACAAGTACTCCTTTTCTTTTTGCCTATAGTAAATGATGCTGCAGAGCTGCACTACCCCGAATACCAGGAAGCCGTTCTACCTCAGGGACACAGAATACCTGCCAGAGCTCCTAGCTGGGCAGAGACTGTATGCCTGCTACCAAACCCCTTGAAGAGGTGCAGCTTAATTCCCCTTGTGTAGCCAGCCAGCTTTGTGAGCCAGTGTATTGTTGCAGGGGGAGGGAGTGGAGCATGGCACAGTGCATTCCTGGGGGATTGAGGATGGAGTAGCCCCCTTTGCTCCCTGCCGTGCAGGCACTGGAATTCTCTCTGATCCTTACATGGGGACACACTCTCCCCACTCCTCTACTGCTTTCCTGCTAAGGGCCAGGCAGGATTTGTTCCAAAGAGAGCTCCTCACCAACCAGAAGACATTTAGATAGGAACAGAAAGGCATGTCGCTGTTTGAGGAGATGGGCATGAACGCGTGCTAACAGCAAATCACACGCTAACAGAATTCAGCTGCCATTTGTTTGGGCACAGATGGTGCCACCATTACTCACATTGACCAGCACCTTAGTCCACGAACCCTGCTGGTTTTCATTGGATTTTTCACAGCCTAAGGTCCTACTCTCTGTGCATGAGGCTGGCAGAACCTGACCCAGCCTGAATGAGAAAGGGGGGCCATCCGACAGAGCTAGTTGAATTTTTTTCAACAACTAGTTTTCATTCAAACTTAATTGAGAATGAAATGTTTCATGAAAAAGTGGGGTTTGAATTAAATCTTGCTGGTTTTCATTAAAAAAACAACCGTCCCCACCCCAGAATTTGCAGTTTTAACAGAAAACTTCTCAGTTTGGGTTGCCAACAGACAAACAAAGAAAATTCAGATTTTTCAGGGTTTGTGGGGATTTTGGTAGGTTGATAGGGTGTGTGTGTGTGTGTTTAGCAGTAACAAAACCAAACCATATCTGAATACCTGGCAATCTGAAACAAACAATGAAAAAAAATCATTGACTTTTTTGCAGGGGAGAAAAAATTATTTCCCCAGCAGATCTATTACAAGACCCCTTCCTTTGGGGAGTCAATGTGGGGGAGGTAATATCTTTTTATGGGACCAACTTCTTTTGGTGAGAGAGACAAGCTTTTGAGCTTATGTAACACCGACAGACCCCGGTCATCGGCGAGCAGAATCAAACCTGGGACCTCTGGAGCTAAATGCATGAGCCAAAAGCCATATGGCTGGTAGCTAAGGCAGTACAGCAGACTCATTAATTTCTCTAAAAGAAAAGGAGTACTTGTGGCACCTTAGAGACTAACAAATTTATTTGATGCATCCGATGAAGTGAGCTGTAGCTCACAAAAGCTTATGCTCAAATAAATGTGTTAGTCTCTAAGGTGCCACAAGTACTCCCTTTTCTTTTTGCGAACACAGACTAATATGGCTGCTACTCTGAAACCTGTCATTAATTT